TTTAGCTGCCTGCACCTTGCCAGCCACAGAGCACGTCACCATTCTTGTGACAAGTGTCAGGGGCAGCCCCGAGAGCAGCATCAGGTCAGCTCATCCCCTAATGCATCCCCAGAATTACAGTCCCACTGTAATTTTACTGCTGGGATGTTGCCCGTCCCCTGCTCTGCGCTCTGGTTGCAGGGAGCTGATCAGGCAGGGCTCTACCATGGGGCTGCTGTGTTGGGCAGCGGCGGCGGGCAGAAAACCCTCCCTTGCAGGGAGATGGGGGAGCAGGGAGGATGTTTGGGGCAGTGGGTGGTTTTGGGGGCTAGAGGCAGTAGGTGTCCATCCCCTTGCTCCTAGCTAAGCGCCTTAAAAGCAAAGGGAGGGTGAGACGGGAATCTCAGAAATCTCTGAGCTGTGCAAGGAGAGCAAAATCCCATCCAGGGACAAACATTAGCAAGGCTGGAAGGAAAAACTATGTGGGGGAGCAGGGAGGATGTTTGGGGCAGTGGGTGGTTTTGGGGGCTAGAGGCAGTAGGTGTCCATCCCCTTGCTCCTAGCTAAGCGCCTTAAAAGCAAAGGGAGGGTGAGACGGGAATCTCAGAAATCTCTGAGCTGTGCAAGGAGAGCAAAATCCCATCCAGGGACAAACATTAGCAAGGCTGGAAGGAAAAACTATGATGGTGGTTTTGCCAAGGAAGTAGCACAGCGTGGGCTGCTGACAAGGGCTGCCGACAAGGGTGCTCCAAAACCGGTCATCCCTGTGTCCCTGGATGAGCTTTTCCCTGCTGCATATAAAGGACTTCTTATTTAGGTTCCCAGCAAAGAGATCCTCGAGTTTGAAAAGGGAGCCAGGAGCGTGGGGCGGGAAGGACAGGGCAAGGTGTAAGCCATTCGCAGCGGCTGTAGAGCACCCAGCACAGCTGGCTGGGAGCAGATGAGGTGCAGCACATCCAGCACCCCTTACCTAGAGCGTTTGCGTCCCCAGGGTTATCAATGCCGAGAAGTCGGAGTTCAATGAGGACCAGGCAGCCTGCTGTCAGATCTCCATCCGGAGGAGGGAGCCAGGCCTGGAGGAGGATGAGGAATGGCTGATCCTGTGCTCCACGCAGGTATAGCCCACGGGCAGGCTGTGCTCACCCTGCTGCCAGCCCTGGTCCACACCCAAGGGCCCAGGTACAGGAAACATGGGGTTGCCCCATCAGTCCTACATGCCCACATGCTGAAACCCTTCCTTGGATGCATTTAGGGGACCCGTATACCCTGTGTCTGGCCAGCAAACGCCCAGCTCCGCTTGTACCTGCCATTCCTCCTTCCCTGGCCCATAACTTGTGCCATCTGAGGTCATCCGAGCCCTTTACTCGGTGCTCTCAGCTTTCCTTTGCTGTCCTTGCTCTGCTTTCAAGGGCCAGTGTGTGTTGTCATCACCAGGGGACAGCAGCACATGGGATGCTCTCACCCAGGAGCAGCTCTGCCTCGCCTCTTGTGAAATGGAGTAGCCCCATCTGCCCTCAGACGCAGAGGAATGGCGTGTGCGGGTGAGCGGCTGCGAATCCAGCCGCTCACAGCTCAGATAACACGTCTGGCAGAGCAGCACATGGGCATCACATGAGTTTGAACCATGCAGGGGACTAACTGGCAGCAGGGAAGGGTAGGTGGGGTGGAAGAGCCAGGCAAAACACGTACACCGACGTCCTGGCTGCGAGCCTGCTGTCTGTACGACCTCTCTCCAGCCCCTGTCTTCCCCCTCTCTGAAGCTCCCCGTTGCTGTCTTGTCCTTCTTCCCCACTGCAGTTTCTGACTGGTTACTACTGGGCACTATTTGATGGCCACGGTGGCCCAGAAGCTGCCATCATCGCCTCCAACTATTTGCACTACTGCATCAAACAGAAGCTGGAGGAGGTTGTAGGAGGCATCACCGAGGCCCGTCCCCCCATGCATCTGAGCGGACGCTGCGTTTGCGACAGCGACCCCCAGTTCGTGGAGGAGAAGCACATCCATGCAGAAGACCTGGTGGTGGGAGCCCTGGAGAATGCCTTCCAGGAATGCGTGAGTACCCTGTGCAGGGCACCGGTCCTGCTGCCCCAAGCAGTCAGTCTGTCCCTCCTCGCTACCCATGGTGGGCAAGGTCTGCAGTTCTGCAGCTCATGGAGCAGGCACGAACATTCAGCCAGACGTTTAAGTGTGCCGAGATCACGCTGGGTCAGCTCCCCAAGATCTGCCTTAGATCTGTTGCATATGGGCAGTGCTGACCCAGAGCAAAGCTACAGCATCTCTGCTAAACTGCACCCAGGCAATACGCTTCTTTAGGGCTAGATGGTGGCTATTGTCAGACTTGTACAGCGTGTGCAAGTTTGAGATCTCCCCATCACACTCCTAAAACAGTCTTTAGTCCAGTAGCAACAGCTTTGTTGGCCGTACTGAAGCAACATTGTCTCACCTTGCTGGTTTGTCATGGCCCATCTGCAATCAGTTTTGGCTCTGGATTTCTGCTGGGAGGCACAAGGCAGCTGCAGAAAGCAGCAGCCTGGTTCATGCCTCTCTCCAAACTTGTTTAAACCAACAGGATGAAGTCATCGGTCAGGAGATGGAAGCTACGAACCAGACAGGAGGCTGCACTGCTCTGGCTGCTCTTTATTTCCAGGGAAAGCTGTATGTGGCTAACGCTGGGGACAGCAGGTGAGCCACAATAAAAGGGGGAAGTTGGTGGGGGACAAGAGCTGGGAGATAAGCAGGGTTTCCAGCACCTTACTTAACCCTATAGAAGGTAAACGTGCAGCCCAGCCATTCCCCTCCTGCTTGCCACAGGGCCGGTTGGATGGATGGATGCTCGCTCTTGTGCCTCCTTGGAAGGGTTTCAGGATTTCAAGGGCGTAACACTGCCCTGTCGCAGGGCAGTGTTGGGGGAGTAGTGCAGCAGTAAGCTCAGCCTGGCAGATGTTTAAAAGTGGAAGGTGATTTCAAAGCATCTTAAAGAGCTTCTTCAGCTGGCATTGGCCCACCATTCTTCTAGCAGTGAGCTCTACCATTGTCAAACCAGGCAGGCTCAGTTCTCTGCTGCAACAGTGCAATTACAAGAGTTATTTAATACACTGGCACTTTTAAACGTTCCTGGGTGCAGAGCTATTCTCTGGCCTTGCTCTGCCGCTGGTTACCGCTGGTCCCACACCTGGCTGACCCTAGGGCTAGTCTTGGTCAGAAGAGGGCTGCAATGATGGGCATGTGGGAGGACACAGCTTGGCTCTTTGCCTCTTCCCCCTCGTAGGGCGATTCTTGTTCTGAAGGACAACATTGTGCCCATGAGCTGCGAGTTCACACCCGAGACAGAGAGGCAGCGAATCCAGCACTTGGTGAGTGACTCCTTCCACACATCAAGCAATCCAGCTGCAGGCATCCTACTGGGTCAGACAGGGCTTGTGGCAAGAGCACCACCAGCTTTCCTCAAAGGCCACTGTGTGGCCAGAATACCATTGGGCACCAGCCAAGGTGGGCTCAGGGCAAGACTAAGCCTGTTGGTTGAATATGGGAGATGCTGACATCCTTGGGATGTGCTTTCCCAGTTCTGTTCTCCATTCTGCTGCTGGGAGTGCCATTCCTGAGACAGAAGCCATACTCCATTGAAGCAGAGCCTGTCCATCCTCACACCTTCACTCCCTCCTGCAGGCTTTTCTTTTCCCCAAGCTCCTGGACAGCGAGTTCACACGCTTTGAGTTTCCACGGAGGTTGAAGGGAGACGACGTGGGCCAGAAAGTCCTGTACCGGGATTATTTCATGGAGGGCTGGTGAGTCCTTTCTGCCTGAGGATAAGGGTGCAGCACAGGGCAGCTCTACCTGCTCATAGCGATGGGGAGGTAAAGGGAGAAGGGGCACAGGCCACTGGTGAGAGTGGTGGGCTTGATCTGGCACAGCTTCGCACCATCAAGTGAAGGATGCTGCGAGAAGCCTCCCCCCTGACTGAAGGACTGGGGCACTTGCACGGTGGTTGGAGAACAGTTGAGATGGTCCTTCTGGGCTCCTGTGAGGTGGGGCTGGTGCAGGTACAAGCTGGAGAGGAAGGGGGAGGGAAAAACACCTGGGCATTCAGCAAAGGATCATCTTCACTGCATCTGCTACAGCAACTCACCTTGCCCCTGCCTCAGCTGCCTGTACATGAGGGCACCACAGGGTTGAATCACAGTTGAAATGCTCTAGCTGTGTTGTACCTTCAAGTCAGACAAATCCCTAATCAACGCCAAATCCTCTGTTCTAGGGGATACAAGATGGTGGAGAAAGCCGACCTCAAGTATCCTCTTGTCCACGGTCATGGGAAGCAGGTAGCTTAATGCTTTATGCACTGGGAAGGCAGAGCCAAGTCTACTGGAGGTCCTCGGTGACCTTGTCACTCACGGTCACGCTCTGGGGCTCTCCGGCATGGTGCAGTCCCACAGCCCCAGTACAGCAGCTCCCTTCACTACCACAGCCCTCCAGGTGTTGCACCCTCCAGAGACCTTCTAGCAGAGCAGACAGTGGCCCTGAGCCCACCTGCCCTTTCCTCATCTCCCCTTGCAGATGAGAACTCATTTCACATGAGGACTATTTCATCATATCCCACTTTGGACTGCCTCCCCCAGCTCTATCACTTTTCCCACAAACCCTCTTCCTCAAGGAGAGGCTGAGAAAAGGAGCGTGGAGGAGGCAGGGAGAAGCAATGACTGCACACATCCAGTATCTACCTGCTGGGGTCGAGCAGAAAGAGCCCCATCACCTCCCCCAGTGCTACAAACCGCATGCCACCCCCCTGGCAAGGAGTCAGTGCAGAACCTCCTTTGCCAGGAGAAAGGACCCCTCCCCAAACCAACCCAATAATCTTCCTCGCCACCCCAAATCAAGAGCAGATGTAGCATTACGCAGAGTACATGTACTAACTCCAGAGCACGCCATGGGCCACCACAAGCCATCCACATGCAGGCTGGCTGTCTCCATGCTCACATCATGCCATGGATTCTGATCACTCCTCCATCTCCTCAAGTCTCCAGGGACTGCCCTGGGTGATGCTTGGGGAGGGGTCCTACAGGCAACATGTAGATCAGTCAGGACAAGCCACACATCAGCCTTTGAAGCTGCCACATTCTTACATTTCAATACTGTTTTGCTCTCTTTGGGGCCAGGCTCGCTTGCTGGGGACTCTGGCTGTCTCTCGAGGTCTGGGGGATCATCAACTCAAAGTCATCGACACCAACATCGAAGTCAAACCTTTCCTCTCCTGCATTCCCAAGGTCAGTCGCGGCACATGGGAATTGCAGGATGGAATTAAACGCGCTGCTCCTCCTCTGTAGCACCCACCTTTTACAGATGGGCAGGTGTTTTTCCATCCCCCATCTCTCTGCATACTGCCCAGAGAATCCTCAAGACAGAGGAATAGAAGCATTGCAGCAAGGGGACGTAAAAGATTCACAGCACCCTGGTCCCACCTTGTCACCTGTCGGGGGAAGAGTCATCTCCCTGACCCCCTCAGCACACTGCAGGAATTGGCACTGATTTACTCCTGTGCTTTCCAGGTGAATGTATTTGACTTTGGTCTGCATGACATAAAGGAAGACGATGTCCTCATCATGGCAACCGATGGCCTTTGGGATGTTTTGTGCAACAAAGAGGTGGCCCATATGGTCAGGAGCTTCCTTGCAGAAAACAGGACAGATCCTGACAGGTAATAGCAGCTTTGCCATCGTTCTCCCTTCCAGACAACCTGGTCAGACCAAAAGCAGGCTGAGATCACTCTGCTTCTAAGTCAGCTCCAGCACGGCGCAGCAGAGTCCAGTTTCCTGTGACTCTGGAAATTGCCTCCTAATCTTTCCCCAGCCTAAAGAACAATGATAAAGCTGGTCTCTTAAAAAAAACCCCTACTATTCTGACAACATAAAGCTACATCTCAGTGTTGTTCTTAAGGGAATAGTGCCATGTTAACCCAAACCTTGCATTTTTTTCCACCACAGATTTTCAGAACTGGCCAAGTGCTTGGTATGCAGAGCAAGAGGAAAGAAGAGAGGCCACCAGTGGATGCTGGATGACAGCCACGAGGCATCCTACGATGACATCTCTGTATTTGTCATCCCGCTACACAACAGGGACGAAGACTGACTGTTAGCATGACATGCAGGATCTCTGTGTCCCCCTTCTGTGGTGCTATTAAGCATCAACCCGAGACTGAGGGATTTCTGCTGTGCAGGTACACTCTCTTCCAGTAAAACCATCTGCAGCGGAACCTGAAAATGCACAGCCAGCACTTAGGCAGAAGATAAACAAGAACATTAGCTCCTTAAGAACACACAAGAAAGGAACAGTGGTCAACAAATCATTCTCCTTACTCCTTTCTCTTTGTTGGGCCAAGGAGAAATTGCAAAAGGGGCCACGTCAGCTGAAGGGTACTATTCCTAAGATCTTTGCCGTACAGCAAGCCTCAAATACACGTTTCTAGTGACCCCGCTCCCCTTTTAATATTGAAGAATGAGGATCAATTGAGATCCAACCAGTCTCAAGAGCTGGATTTTAATCGGACTTGAACTAAGTTGTGTAAAATTGGGTGCGTGAGCTGAAGCATCCCTCGTACCCATTTGCTGTAACATGAGCTGTACTGAAAACCCAGGAGCTGCTGCTAAGACAGCACTGGGCATGGCCACGGCTGCCTAACGCAAATGCTGGAGCAGTAGGCTGGACCTCTTGAGAAAGCTGCCATTTGTAGGCAGCACCAGCTCAAAACAGACAATGCCACACATTGGCGTACAGGAGCCTCCTGTGTAAAGATACATGCCTTACTGTTACTTAAGAGCATTTAAGTATATTAGTATGTAATGCAACAGATTTCTAACAACTCTTAGTCCACACCACTTGCTAACACTTTTTGTATTCATTCAGGCCATTTCTGACAGCAAGGCTGGTTTTGTAGCAGTAGCACTGATGAGAACCAAAGTGCTTAAGTACATCAGCTGATTTAGTAGAAAAGCTCCAAGTAAAATAAAACCAGTTTGTTCAAATTTGTCTGCAGTGCTGAATCACAAGCGCTTAAACTCATTACGTCAGGAACAGCAGTGCGGAAGACATGCCAAACAGAGCTGGGCCTTGAACTCTGAGGATCTGCTTCTCAACCTGTTCATTAGCCAGGCAAATTCAGGTCTGGACAAGCTTCCCATCTCACCAAGTCCCCTCTCTTGCTTCCATGATTTGTTATACATGTTGCAAGATTCCCCAGTGAAGCAGATGACCTGCAGTGTGTAAGTTCCATAAGGATGAAAATCCAAATAAAAATACTTTTTTTTTTTTTCCCATGCTTCTTACTGCAGTTTTTTTCCTGTCAGAGGTTTTACACAGCCTTAGAAAACCACAGAGGTTTTTGCTTAGGATTTGTCTTTGCTGAAAACCAGTTTGTCAGAAGTATTCCCTAAGCGGTACTACCCCGAGGGCTAGGCGTCAAAAGATGATTTCCTGCAGTGGGAGGCCTGAACCCAGGAATGAGGCAGCCTTCCCAGCTATCTGCTCATGGCTTAAGCAAGCAATATAACAAAAAACCCCTACAGCAGCTGCAATGCTCTATATACATTGACTCTAATGAGTCAAGTCAAAACAAGCTATTTGCCCACCTTCCTGCTAAAAATCTGGCTCTTCCATCCAGACCACAGGCTTCTATGAACACCCCTCTCCTTAGGGCACCATACCTCAACAAGTAGCTGTCACAAGTCTGCTTCCCTACCCTGATATATTCCTAGGCAAGAACAGCCTCTTAAAATGGGCAATTTATGTAGGGATAGCTTCAGAGCATCACAATTTCCACTACAGAGCTGACTTCCCAAAAGGAAGGGGCTTTTAAAAAATTTGACTATTTTCCCATTCCCCTCCAAGAAAACAGCAAGTCGTATCACACCGGACAAATGCAGAACTTACAGTACTCTGTGATCTCTCTACAAAATATTTATTGGTAACAGCCACAACATTGAATTCTCCACATATGTAGTATTTTGTGACATAGCATAATTTGACTTTATATATTTACACTCATCTGGCAGATACCACCTAGGAGTCAAACTCCCCATACCAGCTCATGACCAAAGAGACCAATTTCTAGGACTTGCCAGGATCCTAGCCCCTGACCAAAAACCAAGGTGAAGTCTCTTAAAGTGCAAATATAGTCAAGAGGCATTGGAAAAGATACACTGCTGCTTCTAAATTTCTTCACTCAGTTGCTCCTGCGACGCGCAGAGCAGGGGTTGGGACATTAACCAAGGATGTGGGAGCCTCAGAGAGAGAAAGAAAAAAAAAAAAAGATCTCTCAAAGAGTAACTTGGAGAAGAGAATTACACCCAAAGTCTCCTACAGCCCAAGCCCACCACTTATTTCAAGGTGGGCTGTCGAGTCTCACTTCCCCCTTGTTTCGAAGAAAGGTCTTTACTTCATCCCAAAGAACAGGAGGGCATTACTCTTTTCAATGTCAAATTTGGGGGCAGAATTGCCATTTGCTGCTTGGCTTTACATAAGGCTAGAGACTCTGTTAGACCTGGGAGTGCTGTTTTTAATGAGGTCCCTTTCTGATTAGCTGGCTGCCCTGAAGAGCACAGGAACTGCAATTCTGATACCTTTAGCACGTAGAAGCTTTATTCACCTTTCCCATCTAACTTTCTAGGAACACGCAATACTTGAGTTCCCTCTTTTAGAGGCAGTGGAAAACACTCAGTGCTACATGGACCAAGACAGACGTCTTTGCCTGTGTGGGTGGCAGTCGGCCCTGGGAAGGCATTCAGCTTTAATTTTGAACTGAGCATTAGTGCCATGTTGTACATGAACCTATAAATTATCTTCACTCCAGAAAGCCGCTGATGTTCTTAGTGTACGTGTCCTCCTAGATCAGTCCTTTGGTCCTCTTTTTCTTAAACATTTCATGCTGCAATACACAATGTTTTACAACACTGCAAGCAGAAGAGAGCTGAACAACCATCTTTAGACAAGTGCTCAAACCACATCAGCAAAGAACATTTTTAGAGTAACAGACTTCCAAATGCTTCCCTGTGAAAAATAACAAGAAAAATGTCTGGAGGCTATCTGTTCAGTTCCTCAGGCAACAGACTTGGTAAAACCCTGAAAGATGGTCTGCTGAAGTTTTACTGTTAAAATGCACTACAAACCCCAAATACCTGTATGTTACAAACCACTGCAAAATGCGGCTGCTTACAGGAACACCAACAATAGTAAAATAGCACCAAGCAGCCTGAAATGCAACAACACTGAGTTGAAGAGGTGGCTGTGGAAACCTACTCAACTGTGAGGACCGAGGTCTCCATCTCCCTTCACGCTGGGCATTTATAGGTGACAGTGGGACAGGACAGTACACGCCGGGAAGAGGGATGCTGGTGTAGTAGTATGAATCTCTCGTCTGCATCTCCAACAGCAGGCCTGTTTGGCAAGATTGAAAGTGTCAGTCTACTGTTCCCTTCCCTCTTCCAGTCTGGAGGACAGCAAACTCACATCACAGATCCATGCATCATAGAAATGGCTCTAAACTCATGCAGTAGCATCAGCAGAGGCAAGCCACAGAGCCTAAGGAGAAGCTTCAACCACAGCATCGATCCAAACATCAAGTTTATCAGACTGCCTTGTGCACGGCAGCCCTTCTGCTGACTGTCACAGGCAAACACTGCAGCTCAGCCTACGCTGCTACTTTAAAGGCACCAGCAGTGAAGAAATGCTCATTCCCCATCCCCAGCTCTTAGCATGGGGGATGTAAAAAACAACAACAAAAAAAAAACAACCACCAACCAAAAAGGCAAGGAAAAGCAAACCAGAACCTGTTCTACAAGCTGATTTCCAGGGAGACATGCTCTGAATTATATATAGTGCCCCACCGTTGAGACAAACTTTGCTGTAATAGGGGAACGCTGAGACAACCAACCAAAGAGCACTGTTGTCCAGTACAGACTGGCACTTGAGAGCAGAGAGAACATGCCAATTGCTGTGCTGGTCACCTTAACAGCATTTGACATTTAGGAGAGGGGAAGCAGACGTGATTGGGCAAGGGAAAGATGTGACCCAGCACATAAAACCATGTGTGTTTGGAAAGGCAAGAATACAATGAATACCACGTTTACGCTGAGCCTGTCCCGGCCTGCCGGTAGATGCATTAGATCAATGCAGCATTTCAGGAAAAAAAAAAGCCTGGAACCAGGCTTGAAGACCAGCTTGCCAGCCATTCTGTGCCACTTGCCCACAAGCCCCTCTGGAGCAGGAAAGCACGTCCCACCCATCTCCTTGCAGGGGCGTTGCCTGGAGCAGGGCCACAGCAAAGCAGAGTCAGCAGTCACATGTAAAAATCTTTAAAATTCAATTCTGAAGACACCACCTGACAAAGGAAGCGGCACTCTTTCAGGGCTATCGCTGAAAACCTGCAAGGCCTGTAACAAAATGCATGATGAACTAACTGCACATCAGTTTTATCAACAAAGGGATACAGGTCTAAGCCTGGTGTGGGGAGAATTTAATGGAGCTTATTTACAAACCAGGAGGGGAAAACTGCATTGGTGAAGGTAAACAGCCTAGACACCCCACAATACTGGCCCACATCATATTCTTTAATATCTAAAAGTAAAAAAATATGGCCCATTCCCACTGCCCTCCCCCCCTCAATATTTACAAGTAAGATCAACCAAGATGATACATAAGGAAAATACACAGGCAGGCTGTGCTTCCAGTCTCAGTTTGGTTTCTCCATCTTCCCGCTGACAGAATC